TTAGCCAGGATGGTCTCGATCTCCTGACCTCATGATCTGCCTGCCTCGGCCTCCCAAAGTGCTGGGATTACAGGCGTGAGCCACCATGCCTGGCCCAATCACTCCCTTCTTTTAAGACATCAGATGCTTCGTTTTTGTGTGTGAGTGCTAATATAATTTCTTTATCCAAGTCTCTGAGTATTTCCTAAAAGTAGAATTACTAGGTCAGAGGTGAAAACAACTTATTATTTTTGTGGTTTATTTCAAAAGTAGTCTTTTTGCCTTTGAACTTTAGAATTTAAATTTAGAAGTTAGAAAAAGGAAAAAAAAATGTTTTCAAAATATACTACAAGAGATTAACATTTTAGTATATCCTTGATAGCTTTTTGTACATATCCATAAATATTTAGATATGCATCTCATCTTTCTGTATTATTTATAAAACAGAAACATGTAGTACAAATGTACTACAATCTGCTTTGTCTGGTTAACTAAATAACTGAGATTCTTTCTGTGTCATTAAAGTCTTCCAGATTCAGAAATGAAGATAACTAAATCGTGCTGGCTTTCCACAAGTGCTGTCCCACAGATTATAAATGAGGTTTAGTATAACTAATAGCAACTCAGTAAATTTTAAAACGCTCTTTTCATAGTCTAACATTAATACTAAACCTTAAGGGAAACCTTCGTATTTCTATGCTGAGGACATTTTGGCAGGAGAGGGAGGAAAAGGAAGAGAGGAAAGGGCAAGGCCGGGAAGAAGACATGCATCAGAAAATATTCAAAAATTCTCCCAAAGGGAAAAACCACTTGTAGTCACTTGAAGAAATTGATCGAATCAGTAAATTACCAAAGCAGTAAGTCAGTAATCAGTTTATTGCCCTAAAATGTTATTTTCTCCTTAATACTTTGTAAATCACTGGCCACGTGTGGTGGCTCACACCCATAATCCCAGCGCTTTGGGAGGCTGAGGTGGGTGGGTCACATGAGGCCACGAATTCTAGACCAGCCTGGCCAACATAGTGAAATCCATCTCTACTAAAAATATAAAAATTAGCTGGGCATGGTGGCAGGCACCTGTAGTCCCAGCCCCTTGGGAGGCTGAGGCACGAGAATTGCTTGAACCCGGGAGGCAAAGATTGCAGTGAACTGAGATTGTGCCACTGCACTCCAGCTTGGGCAGCAGAGCGAAACACTGTCTTGAAAACAACAAAACAATAACAACAACAATAAAACTTGTAAATCACTAATCTCAAGGCAAAATCAACCTTATATTAACAAATTGGTTTCAAAATCTCTGGATTTTGCCTAAGGAGGAACAGAGTAATAGCAATCACTTTGTTTCTCCTAGAATTCATTACCTATCAAAGAAAATGCATAAATTCTAGAAGTACTGCTTGCTCCTTTGCCACAAAGCATACATTCAAGAGTAAATTGTTTAAAGCCAAAGGTAAGATTAAACAACTTATTTAATATCATCCTGCCTGTTATTATTTCTAGGTCTTCTTTGATAATATGTCAAGGAGTTACATTTGACATAGCCCTGTTATTTTTACCACAGGTTAATTTTAAATCCCATTGTGGCTTATAATCACCATTACCATCACTGTCACCAACAAATCACATCACCATGACAATCACCACCACATCATCACCATCGCCAACATCATCATCACCATTCACATCATCATCCCCATCACCATCAGCATCATCATCACATCACCATGACTATCATCACATCACCACCATCACCATCACCATTGCATCACCATCACTATCACCATCACATAACCACCATCACCAA